CATTTCTGGCCCGCCCTGCATACTGATGAAACAAGCTCCTGTGGCTAGAGAAAGCCCTTTAACAGCCACTGGGACCTGCATTAACAAGTGCAGGTGTGAACTGTGAGGCATATGGGCAATGGGAGTATGTGCTACAGCCAGCTAGTATAAAATAAAACAAAATTGGAATCACAGCACATGTGTGTAGTATTGTATTCTGCTTTGCCACCTAATAGAATGCTGGGAGCGTTTCACATGTCTCTAAATGTTATTTGAGAAAATGCTTTTTAATGGTTGCCTCTTACCTTTTATTTCACCGGTTCCCTATTTTTGGACATATGAGTTGTTTCTCATTTTGAAGTACTCAGAATAATTCAACAATAAATACCTTTACACACACTTCTTTCTCTATATCTCTGGCTATTTCTTTAGGTTAAATTAATAAAGGACAATTTTGTTAATTATCTAAAGCAGGGATTACTAACATGTCTATAAGAATCCTTGACGTTGACAGAAAATGTAATTTAAAAAAAAATCCTGGCGGGCACCACAAGACATGGAAGTCACAGAATGAAGAACTTCCTTTATTTTTCATTACGAATCTGCCTTTAGTCTCTGTATTCAGCTGTTGTCAAATGATGGAAGATTTTTACGCCTATATTGTGGAAACTTTTATTACTGTCTAGCCAAGGTGGCAAGTTTATCACCATGTCATCCAATGAGCTGATTACTTTCAAGAAGCAAGAAGTGAGAACACCTTCTCTGCAGGAAGGCCGTGAACACACTTGCTCTCTTTCTGCACACCCTCACCATCTCCTGCAGGCCTAAGGGGAAATGGTGAGAGCCTCAGAATCTTGCATTTTACTTGTCTGAGGGAAAACATACCAAATTCTATCTCCCATTCTCCAACAGCCTGGCATGGTTTCTTTCCTACTGAAATATCTCATGAAATTTCTTAATGACCACCATTCAATACATCCACTGGCCTCTTCTCAGGTTTCCACTCTTTTACTTCTGAGACATGCAGAGTGGTGCCACCCATGCCTGATGTGCTCTTGCCTTCCCTACACTTGCTTGGTGGTCCCACCTCTTTTCCATTTGGCTCTTGGCAGTCTCCCTCAGTCCCTCCTCTCCTTCTTCTGCAGAAGCTTAGCCCCCTGGGCCCATTTTTCCCCCTCCCTTGAAGATCTCTCTTCGTCCAGGACTTACTTCTCACTGCAGGAAGATGACTCTCAGGGGTCCATTTCCAGTCTTCCCCTCTCTCTTCTTACAGGGGGTCTAAGTATGAAACTTCCTGACAGAGAACACCTCAAACGTGGCAACCAAATTTACCTTCTCTCTGTCATTTTCAACTCCTTCTCCCTATTGAATCACTTGGGAGTTCAAGGTCTCCTAAAATCTTGCCCCCAAGCACCTTTCCAATGTTATCACTTTACGTGAGAATCTAATTTTTCGCTTTACTCATCATGCTTCTAACAGCCTGAACACTGCTTTCTTCAGTTGTTATTTAAACTAAGTAGATTGTATTATAGAATATATGAAATCCAAAAGTTTGGATTTGATTTTCTGTGTGAAGAACTTTCCACCCTGACCACCTCTACCTCTACAGGCATCATGTAGAAATGGAAAGTGTGAGTTGGCATTCCTCATATACGCTTCCTCCAAATACCTTAAATTCCTTAAAATAAGAAACTCTACTTCATGCTGTTGTGTATAAAGGAGGTGCCAAAAATATTTAACCCAAAACCCTCCCAACTTATCAAGTAAGTTTCTACCAAATTAGCACATTACAGTAGATGAGAAAACTAGTTAAATACCACTTGTTCATTTTTAATCACAAATCAAAAGGCAGATCAGGTGATAAGTGTTTTATTCTCATAGTAAAAAGATATCTTGCTGAATGTAAATTTCTTCTGATAGAAGTGTGCCTTAAAAGTGCGTATAGGTGGTGGTGTGAAGGAGTTTATAATTTTGACATATTTGTTAGAAGCAGATATTTTGATAATTACTAGCATTTTCTAGGTTGATATCTCACATTCGATAATCTGATAAGGAAGTAAAGCAGCTTCCTTCGATCTGTCATGTACAGACTCATTGTTTTTGTTCCGATGACTTGGCATGAGAGTTTATTGTCTTCCCTGTGTTTGCAATAAACGAAACTGTTAGAAGCTGCTGCTGGATGCTCTCATTTTATTTCTAAGATTATGATGAAATCATTGACATTGGTTTGGAAAGTTTTAGAAGAAAATAACGTTTTAATAATTTACCATAACCAACATCTTGTGAACCCAATTTCTTCTGAAACAAATGACTTCAGAATAATCTGCATAAATCCTAGATCAGGTCACTTACTATTGAAATCTTTACCAAGAAGATACTGGCACAACACTTCAAAGTATCCAAATGCACAATTGAAATTGCAACTCTAAAACTGAGCCTCTTTGGGATAAAACGTGTATCTCCTAGATGGACATCAATGGGACAAAAATGCAAGACATTCTGTGGGAAGAGATCAGCTAATCTTGATTTCTTAACAATGAACAGTAAATATTGTATAGATGTGGTACACAGAGTGGCAAAGGCTTTCATTTTACTATAACGGTGGTTTTTAAATTGCTTCTGGGAGACCTAAGGTTCTGAGGAGATATTAGGAGGGGGTGTAGCAGAGGGTGAGCAATGTGTGTGGCGGAGAGAGGGCTGGGGAAGACCAGATGGATGCTTCGTGTCCCTTTCCTCCTCTTGTTTGAGTTTCTCAATGACTCATATCTGTTAGAGCTTCTGAGCAAGATAATGTTTGGAAGAAAAGTTCTGCTACTAAAAAAAAAAATCTAATGGTTCATAATTTTTGCTTCAGAACCCAAGTAAAAGTCTGTCAAATGAGCAGGCCACTATACTTACAGATGTCAATGAACATTTTTATCCAGTTTCTCCAGTTGCTTTTGAATTGGGCCAGGAATATGTCTTGGAAAGAAAATGAAGAAGCCCAAGGCTGGAAAATGTTTGCTGAAAGGGTCTTTTCTGATTGTACACTTAGCTAAGGACTGCACGGAATAAAATATCACCCTGCTCTCCAACCCCACTCCAACCCACACGCTGTAACCATCTACACAGGATTCTTGACTACTCTTCCAGTTTGAGAGACAGAGAGACCTGTCTTCAATGTTTAGTGACCTGTTGCTCTTCAAATATTAATGGGCTGATCGTCAAGTCATTTGCTTCTTCCATATCTCTTGGAGGGAAATCTTTGTAGAAAGCAATGCAGACCTTATAACTTGATGAATAATGTTACTAAGCATCCTGCATCTGTGGCCCAGCCAGTGGCAATTCTCCTGTCCTACCTGACATCCCCTATACTGATGATTAAGCATGCATTGGCTTGGCTATGCCACACCAGAGCCAAGGAATTCCTCCAGAACTTGGAGATGTGTCAAGCATCCTCACTCCCATTTCCACCAGTATAGGAAGCTCTTTTTGCTAAATCATCAGGGATTCCATGCTTAATATTTATCAGCTTTGGACTCTTACTAGCTAATTAGGAGAGTATCTACTTGAACAGAGAGGTATTTGCAACTTCTATCCGTGTACTACTCTTAAAAACCATTTAATACATTAATATAAATGTCTGCATGATTCATTGCCTATGATCTGAGGCACTTTTGTTTTGGACTAGGAACAGCTCACTAAATCAATAATATTAAGGATGTGTTCCGTGACATACAAATCTTCCAAGATGCTCAGTGAGAAAGAGTTTATGTGGTCAAATATACTGGGAGAAACATTGTGTTCTTCTCAGTAATTCAAAAGGTGTATTAGAAGGCCAAAGTGCTAAGAAGCATTTCTTAAACTTATTTGATCATATAATTTAAAAACTCTCCCTCACTTCCTCCTTCCCTCCCTCCCTCCTTTTCTCTATCCCTTCCTTTCTCTTTAGAGACATCAAATATCTAGGGCTCCGTGGGAAAGACTTCAGACAACAATGTACTTGCCTGTCTAAGGAAAGTTTTTAAGGGCTAATTTCTATTTTTCCCCTGGAACTCCAGAGCCAGCACTGTGTCTGGCACAAAGTGAATATTTCATAAATGTTTGCTAAACTGAAGTGCACACAAGAGAGTCTGTATTAATAAGATGCCAAAATATTATGTTGAAAGTTGTCTTCAAAACTCACACCAGTTATTTGGTACTAAGCATTTGGTAGTTTCACAGAAACAAATTATTTAAAAATCGAATTCAATTAATCCACTTTGGATCCACAGATCAGAATCACAAGATGCCTGATATGGGACAAGTCCCAGTACATATTTTAGTCATCGTTTTATAGACAGGTCTTATCTTTCCTAGTGAATTTATAAAGAGGTTGCAAGAGTAATGTCAAGCAATTTAAGTATAGGAGTAGCAATGTGAGCTCTTGGCTCAACCTGGTGGGCTCAAACACTGACTCTGCTACTTACTGGCCAAGGGACTGTGGGCAAATGGATTTGTGCTCGGTTTCCTCATTTCAAAACGGCGGTGGTACTTGTACTCCCCTCAAAGGGTCATCGTGATGACTTTATGAGATTAGATGGGTAAATAACCAAGCACAGTGTCTGGCACATGGAAATAATATGACATCAGTATCATTAAACACATTATCAGATAGGACTGCAAAGTCAATATGAAATTAGAGGTGACACACAATTCTAGACAGAACTTGGGAGAGCTTATGATTCGGAATGTGAAGGGGGAGGAAGGAACTGTAAAACTGAGGTCTCCATATTGATAGCCCCCAATACTGGGCCATTTGTAGAATTTTTTGGAGGAGAGAGAAAGGTTAAGTCTGGTGTGAAGGTACAACTCTCACGGAATAACTTTTCCCAGGGTAAGGTGTTGAGTGGGCATTTCAGTGGTTTGGGCATTTTGTGGACTCGGGAAGAACCCTCTCTTTTCACCCAGAAGTCCCGGAGACCACATTGTTGAGAAACCACAGAAGGAAGAAAGCGCCCTCCCTCCCCGTGAGGCAGCGAGCCCGGACCACCACCACCTACCTGAATGGGTAGGCAAATGCTATGTCTATGCTCAGGTTACTTTCCGTCTTGTTGACGCAGTCCACACTCAGCCGCAGGCCTCCGGAATAGCCACCGCATGTTGCAAATGCAAAGATGGCAAAAAGCTGTGGAGAACAGAGAAACACAAGAGAAGGCGGCTATCAGGACGGTGTTGATCTAATGAGGTCTACCAGCAGGAGCTCAGTGTCTAGGTCGAGACAGGCTATGGTTCTTCTGAAGTGCAGCATCATAATCGGTTCAGGCTGGAATGAAGGCCAAGGTGATGGGAGGAATGGGGAGGTGGGGTCTGAAATAATTGTCTGGAAAGCTGGAGTAATTTTGCTTACGGAAAAATGAAAGACAAGGACACAAATCTGTGTTTGAGACCAAAGAGCTGTCACAAATCAGAAGGTAGAGACATATATCACACTAAGGGCTCTGGAAAGCTCCGTACCATGGGGTTCATGACGGCATCTCCAGGTGGGAAGAATCTGGAATGTCTTCTTGCTTGCTTCTTTTTGTTTATCTGTATTTTCTGCAATAAATATGTTTTGTCTTTTGGAATAATACAGACTCTTTTAAGCGCACAGTCAGAGCATTTTAGAGTTGATGGGTGGAGGAAGAGGAGGTGATTAAGAATCGTACTAAGAAGTGCGATTTCAGAGCACAAGATCTCAGCACATGTCAGCCTTAACCCCCACCTCAGTGGTTACATCTCTGTGTTTGTTGCTTTTTCTAAGTCAACTATTAAAAGTTTCAACTGGTTAGTGTCATAGTCTATCCTGGTGTAGAAACTGGATCGGTGGGAATTAGGTACTGAAAATTAGGAGAAAGAACTCAAGAGAAGTCTTCAAGAAAGAAGATACATCTGGGAGGGTGAGCATGGCCTGAGATGGGAAGTAAATAAATGCAAGACTTTGTCCACTTAGTTTGGCTAAATTCAAAAGAATTTCCTGCTCATTTACAAAGAAAGTCAATGAAGTGCACTAAACACCCATTTTATTTTAAGTTTGGACTTCAGCTTCTTGCAGTAGCTTGGGCAAAGTGCTAAGAAGTATTTCTTAAACTTATTTGGTCATAAACTTTAAATTATAATTAAATTAATTAAATAAATTGATTATAATTGATTGATTGATTATAATGATTAATTATAATGTAAATTATAATTTTTATGAGGGACACCAGCTCACTTTGCATGTGAGAAGACTTATTGTGGAAGGGTTAAGTACGTGAGCTCTGGAACATGACCTTGGGAAGTTGCTTAATTCACCTGTGAAACGGTCTGGTCCTGGACTTCTGTGTGTTGGAATTTTTCGATTACTGATTCAATTTCATTACTAGTGATTGGTCTCTTCAGATTTTCTGTTTCTTCCTGATTCATCTTGGAAGACAGTGTTTCTAAGAATTCATCCATTTATTCTAGGCTGTCTAATTTGTTGACATACAATTGTTCCTAGCAATCTCTTGATGATCCTTCGTATTTCTATGGTGTTGGTTGTACCTTCTCTTTCTTTTCTATTTTTATTTGGGCTCTTTCTCTCTTTTTCTTGATGTTAGATTGAGGTTTTTCTTGTTCCCTGAGGTCCTGAGGTAGGCTTGTATTGCTATAAGCTTCCTTGTTAGATCTGCCTTTGCTGAGTCCTGCAGATTTCGGAATATTGCCTTTCCATTTTCTCTCGTCTCCAGGTATTTTTTGATTTCCTCTTTGATTTCTTTAGTAACCCACTGCTCAGCAAGAAGCTTGTTTGGTAGCATGTTGTTTAGCCTCTAAGTGTTTGCAATTTTTCCAGTTTTCATCTTGTAATCGAGACTCTAGTTTCACACTGTAGTGGTTGGAAAAGATGCTTCATAGGATTTCAGTCTTATATTTACTGGGATTCATTTCGCGTTCTAACATATCATCTATCTTGGAGAATGTTCTACATGCACTTGAGAAAAATGTGTATTCTGCTCGGTTGAAATAGTCTGTACATATATATCAAGTCAATCTGGGAAAACGAGTCCTTTAAAACCAATGTTCCTTACTGATTTTCATGTCGGATGATCTATCCATTGATAAAAGTGTTAAAGTCTTGTATTATTACTGTATTACTGTCAGTATCTCCTTTTATGTCTGCTAATTTTTGCTTTATAAATTTAGTGCTCCTATGTTGGATGAAAAGATATTTAGAAGTGTTACAGCCTCCTGTTGGATTGATCTTTTTTATTATTATATAATGCTCTTCTTCGTCTCTTTTGATCATTTTTGCTTTGAAGTTTAAGTGTTGATCCCCCAGCTTTATTCCTTTTTTCCGTTTGCATAGAATATCTTTTTCCATTCCTTAAATTTCTG